AGGATGGCACTCATAAAACCTAGTATTTGGACGAACAGCGGAGGGAGTGCTGGGCCGGGGCTTGTGACCCAGCCTTCCCAACTCCCTCTGCCTACAATCTGCAGGTACAGACTACAGTTCCCAGAGGTCTGTGGGGAAACGCCATCTTTGTAAACTCAGACTTCGGTGGGAGATCTGCAAGGGCAGTGGAGGGAGTGCCGGGCCGGGGCTTGTGACCCAGACACCCCACACCATTTGGGCCCTTGGGCCAGGAAGACAATCATATATGCCACATCTATAAGATTTATCAACCTCCCCTAAAATACTCATGTACCACTGAGGATTAAGTTACATGGGGAATCAAACTGGTTTCTGGCCTGAGTACGTAGAGCCCACGAACTCAAACAACTCTGAGATCCTTAGCATATCCAAAGAGTGGGGAAGTTATTCCATAAAGGGAACAACAGACTTCCTCCTTCATTATTCATTATTTAGGTTCCCCCGAGGCCGTCCCCACGTGTATCAGTGTATGCTTCCTCCCTCCCCACTCACGTGAGCATTGGAGTGTGCACGCATCCTCTATGCATCTACTCTTGTTTCTGCCCAAACTTCTTCTGGAGCAGTGATAACAAATCAAAAACCAGCTACCACCTCAGACACGAAGAACTCTGCCACACCAGTGGCCCATAGAAAACAGAGTGCTTCACTTGTCAGACCAGCCCAAAGCAAGATATCAACCCCCAAAGAAGACACAGTAGTAATGGATTTCCTGGAGCCAGAAAGCCTGATGGAACTTTCTGATAGTCATTTTAAAAGAACAATGATTGAATATTTTCAATGGATAAAAAAGAAATTTGATGAATTACAGTATAGTGCTAGTAAAGATCAGGAGGAGCTTAAAAAAACAATCTAAAGCAATGCAGAGAAAACAAATGAAGCATTAGAGGCATTGTAAAAACAAGAAACTGTGATCCAAAATTTGAAATCTAAGGTTTCTGATGCTGTCAACATGATGGAGGGAGATACGAATAGAGGTGAAGAGATGGAAAACAGAATCAGTGAAATAGAAGAAAGAATTGTCACCACAGATCTGACCGAGAAAAAAGCAGAATCCAAAAAGAAGGAAACAGAAGAAAGCTTGAGAATAATGTGGGATACCATTAAAAGAAATAACACCCGCATCATAGGAATCCCAGAATGGGAAGAAGCAAGTAAAGGCACTGAAAAAGTTGTGGAAGAATTACTAGAGGAAAACTTTCTGGGCATAATGAAGAATGACAGAATATATATTCAAGAAGCTGAGCGAACACCATATAGAATAGACCCTAAAAGAAAAACACCAAGGCACATCATTGTCAAATTTACTAGAACTAAAGATGAGGAGAGAATACGAAAAGCAACGAGAGAGAAACAAAGAGTGACCTATAAGGGAGAACAGATAATATTAACTGCTGATTTCTCAGTGGAAACCATGCGAGCAAGGAGAGAGTGGAATGGCATATATCGAACACTTAAAGAACACAACTTTCAACCAAGAATACTGTATCCTGCAAAAATGTCCATCAAGTACAAAGGAGAGATTAAAATACTCCCAGAAATACAGAACCTAAAGGAGTTCATAAAAACAAGACCAACCATACAGGAAACACTGAGAAACATCCTGGAAACACAGATGCCACAGAAAACAGGATGGACCAAAGTAACTAGCAACAACACCAAAAAGAATTGAACAAAATGACAGCAATAAAACCCTACCTCTCAATAATTACACTGAACGTGAATGGATTAAATGCACCACTGAAGAGAAAAAGAGTAGCAGATTGGATAAAAAAACAAAATCCATCAATATGTTGCCTATAAGAGACACATCTGAAAAACGAAGATAAAGAAAGACTAAAAATTAAAGGATGGGACAAAATATACCAAGCAAATGGCAACCAAAAAAAAGCAGGGGTAGCGATACTAATTTCTGATAAAATAAATTTTGATGCAAAAACCATCACAAAGGACAAAGAAGGTCACTACATAATGCTCAAAGGCTCAATAGAACAAGAAGATATAACGATTTTGATTATTTATGCACCAAATGAAAGACCCGCAAAATATATAAAACACACATTAACAAAGTTGAAAAAGGAGATAGATAACACTATAGTACTGGGAGACTTCAATACACCCCTTTCAAGGAAAGATAGAACTACCAAAAAGAATCTCAACAAAGATACTCAAGAATTAAACCACACAATTAACCAACTTGATCTCATAGGTATTTACAGGCTAATGAACCCC